GCTGAGGGGAAAGGCGTGAGGAGCAAGAGGCAAATGGGGGGGAGGGAAATGGAGGGGAAAAGGGGTGAGATGAGGGTGCAGAAAGAAAATGGGAGGTAAATAGGGTGGGAGGGTGAAGGGTGGCAGAGAGGGAGGTAAACATGGAAGGATAAAGGCCTGAGGTAAATCATAGAATCATAGAATGGTCAGGGCTGGAAGGGACCTTCAAAGGTCTTCTAGTCCAACCCCCCTGCAAGGAACAGGGGTATCTCCAACTAGATCAGGTTGCTCAGGGCCTCGTCCAACCGGGCCTTGAACGTCTCCAGGGATGGAGCATCCACCACCTCTCTGGGCAACCTGTTCCAGTGTTCTACAACTCTCATGGTAAAAAATTTTTTCCTAATATCCAACCTGAATCTACCTCCCTCTATTTTAAAACCATTACCCCTTGTCCTATCATAACTGGCCCTCCTGAACAGCCTCTCCCCATCTTTCCTGTAGGCCCCCTTGAGGTACTGGAAGACGGCTATAAGGTCACCCCGGAGCCTCCTCTTCTCCAGGCTGAACAGCCCCAACTCTTTCAGCCTGTCCTCATAGGAAAGGTGCTCCAGCCCTCTTATCATCTTCGTGGCCCTCCTCTGGACCCTCTCCAACTGGTCCATGTCCTTCTGATGTTGGGGGCTCCAGAACTGGACGCAGTACTCCAGGTGAGGTCTCACGAGGGCAGAGTAGAGGGGAAGAATCACCTCTCTCGACCTGCTGGCCACGTTCCTCTTGATGCAGCCAACCCTTTTAAAGGAAAAGGGGTAAGAATGGAGAGGGGAGGGAGAACTGAGGACAACTGGGAGGGGTGAGGTGAGGAGGGTGATGGATGGTGGGAGGAGGAGATGAGGAAAGAGAGATGGGGGAGTGGGAAATGAGGGTCTTTCCCACCTGATCTCAAAGCTCCATAGAGATTCCCTGTGGATAGTTATGGTTTTGGTGCCATGCCCCAAAGCCACCTCACCTCAGCCTCGTTATCTCTAGAAATTCATCCAGAAAATTCAAAATTTTGAGCCCTTTTCCCCTTTTATCAAACTTAAATTAACCAGACATCTCAAAATTCATCCCACAGGACACAGAGGTAGACACAAGGTCACCCACATACTCCACAGCAAGTGCGGATTGTCCAAAAACGGGCCAGGTGAATTATTCTCTGTTTTTCCTTCTTACTTCCACTTTCTATGTGTTTTTTTTCCCCCATGTGCTGGAAAACTGCTTTTCTCCGTTACGTCTAAGGTTAAACCTTTCTCTCTGCCCTTCCTCCTCCCCTTAATCCCACGCTGGCTGTTATTTCCGCGCACGCAGCCGCTTTCTTTCCCTGCCCTGTCAATAGAAACCAACCACCCATCAATAAAAACAAAAACATCAGCGCTGCCGTCACTGCCATTAATGATTGTGACTTTCCAGCTACAGGCGTTGGAGCGAGGTCGGGCGCACCGACCCCACGGTGGGGTGTTGGGGGGGGTCAAACACCAAATGTCGGCGTAGGTGTTAATCTGCTGCCTGGAAATCTCAGGATAATGGAGAACTGGGGGGTAGGTAGGACTGACAACTGCTGGGCAGCAGCCTGTAACCCCTAGCCCTTTGCTTGTAGACACCGTTGCCCCTTCTGGAATTAATTAACCCCCTCGTTGGCTTATTCTGCCTTAAACCTCCCCGAAAAACCGAGGGGGGGAAGAGGTTTGGCACATGCCGGCTGACTCACAGCAGGGAACAGCGTTCCTGCCCGAGTGACTCACGCTTCTTAGAACAGGGTTATTAAAAAAAAACCCACAAAACCCAACAAAACAGGGTTTAGCAACAGCTGTTTGCATAAATCAGCAATTATGCAATTAATTGTGATTAATTAGGTACTGAGTGGGGGAGGGAGTGAAGGAAGACCCCATCCTGTGCAGAAACCCCAGGGCAGGGCGAATCCCAAATGATTTTATTTCTAATAGCTAAAAATTAATTAATTTTTTGGCAGCTAAGGACAGGAGACCATGCTTGGAAAATTGGGGGGGGAGGGGAAATATAATAGGGATAATTTCAGAGTGTTTATATCAAATATTGTCTGAGAGGTGGGTGAGAGAGGGGAGGGAGGAGGGGTGTCACAGATGAGGAGCGTCACTTTTTCACAGTCGAAAAACGCCAAAATCAGGCAAATTAAAGGATTTTTAGCCTCCTGTAATAACCGCCTCCCGTTTCTCTTCCAGGTATCGCAGTTGAGCTGCTGGCTCTGGAAAGCACCGTGATTCCAATACTGGAGCAGAGTGGGATGATGGGGGAGGGACGGATCCGCTCGATCACACCCAGGAGCCGCCAAGAGCCAGCGAGGTGTTAATTAATAAATGCCAAATTAAAGCCGTTAACGCCCTAAATCACTCCCTCCCAGCTTGTAATGAGCGGAAGGAGTGAAGAAATGGGGAGAAAAGGGGATTTTGGCCGTTACCTCTGCGGTGTTATTTCGCAATGTGGGGAAGCTGCTGCCCAGATCTGGTGGCGGTTCTCGTTGAGGTTTTGTAATTGCTGATGATAATTAGGGAGAAGTGTGGGGGGCACAAACTGAAACATCATCCCTGGCTCGATTGAACTCACTAATTAAGATGAAATCCATAAAAATGAGCTCCACCGCGTCGTCGCAGCCCGCCCCAGCCCGTGCGAGGACGTTGGGCCACACCAAAACCAAGCAAAGTGCTGGAAACCCACCCAAAATTAGCCATTCCAGGCTTTTTCCTTCAAAATATGCCGTCATCAGGACAAATTAATTACAAACGATGCTCTAAACCTGCCCCCCATCCCTGGAATTATTTCTGGGGAGAAAAATCCGAAAATAAATAAAAACGCTGGGGCCGTGTGGACGGGCATCGTTCAGAGGAAGCGCCATCGGTTTAGACCAGCTAAGGGCCGAACCGTAACAACGCAAAATCAAATGGAAATTAAACCGGACCGAGCTCAATTAACCTCATTTTCTTAATTATTTTGCAGACCGAAGGCCCGGAACATTGGTTGAACCTCGAATTTTTGGCGTTTCCACCGAAATGGAGTGTTTTGGTCTGTCACTGGGAGGGCCCCTGTCGGACGCAGGTGGACACGAGTAAGGAAAGAGCCGGGACGCCGTTGTGTGGTGACGAGCGACGCGCTCGTTAATCTAACGAGTCGTTATCTTAACGATAACCTGCACGGAACAGCCGTCGAGGATGTCGGGAAACACGCGGTCAGCCTCCGGCAAGCCAGCGGGGTTTCAAGAGGCGCCGTAATTCCTTACTAGGGGGGATTCCCACCCTCGTTCTGGGCTAAAAACTACCAGAAACGGTTAAAACCGACGCAGTTAATTAACGATGGTATCTAATTAATGATGGCATCGCGGAAATGAGTTACTGAGTCCAACAGGCTCCTCTTGCCCTCGATTCTGAGACGGGACAGAGAACGGAAGCCCTCCCGGGTCTATCACCCCGGCGTCAGCGGAATCGGCATTTCCAGGGATTTGGGGTTTGGTTTCTAATTATTTTTTTTAAAAAAAAGCAGAAGCAATCCGCATTCCTTTCCGCGTGCCGACGCGTTTCACCCCCTCGTTCTCTCTGTCCGTCCGAACAATCTGCAATTGATGGAGACGCTGTCTTTTCCCGGGAATGAATTTCACTCCGTCACGCAGGAATCTGGCCAGGGGAGGGTCACTCACCCCCCCACTTCACTTTTTTTTTTTTTGATTTTGCATCTTATTTACGATTTCAATTCCAACCCTGAGCTCCAGCCACAGATTTAGTTGCCAAAATATGGCCTGAGAGGTTTTTTTTTTAGCTTCTCCGTTTAGAGACGGCACAACATCGAAGTCCGATGGAGCCTTTTGCCGCGTAGCTGCCGGATTTAGGGATCTGTGGGATCTAAAATAAAATAATCGAGTTGTCGGCTGACATTTGGCATCACCATGATGACTCCGGGGCGTCACACCTTCACCTCAACTGAGTGCAAACCGCAGCCGCTCTTCAAGTGAAAAAAAAACCCAAATCCCCCCAAAACCTCCCGATTGAAACATTTGGGAATTTGACCGTCGGCCGTTTCGCCCCCGTCCGGTACAACAAACGTTTACGGCG